TAGAGAATCTTGATTTGACTAAAGAGTAAGAAGAATAATATTTATGTCTTTTTATCAGAGAATGTCATCCATGATGTCAAACTAAGTGTACATGTAGCAAAATCGTAGAAAAATATGTGAGAAGATGCCATTAAAAGTTGTGGTTGAGTTAGGAATTAATACTATTTTTTTGGTCGAATTTTAGTGGAACCAGGGAGACTACTGACCCCTCCATCGATAAAAGTAGAGGAAATTTATTAATTATATTTATCAATTTAACATGTTTTTAGTGTTTGACAATGAGTAATTAGCACATAACGTCCCCATCTTTCATTATTATTGTGAAAAACGTCTTTACTTTTCATTTTTTTTTTAATATTTTCACCATTTTTTTCACCTTTCATTGTGCAAAAGATCATTTTCACCTATTTTTTCAATCAAAAATTATGAAATGACTAATATATCATTCTCTTTAAATAAAACAAAAGAAAAAGAAAAACCTAATTGCAATCAAAGTCCCAATTTCTTTTTAAAAATCACAAATAATTAATAAATAAATTATTAAAAGGGTAATTAGCAAATGTATCTACCTTTCACAATTATTGCAAAAAAGTTCTTCACCCTTAATTACACATTTAATTGCGCAAACCATCATTTCTATCAATTTTCATTCAATTTCTCAATAAAAAATTGTGAAATGACGAATATACTCTCATATTTAAATATATGCAAAACATATCCCTTTTCTTTTTTCTCCTTTAATAATATCCAACACTCTGCACCACCACAGACATGCCACGAAAGTGTAGCACATTTGTAAATAACCTAACACTCAAGTTTCAGAGTCAGTACATTCTTGATCTTCTGAAGGATTGTTGAGGGTAATGGAAGATGCTATAGCATTTCCTATATCCTGTAGTGCGACGGGTGACAAATTCAGAGATGCTGCCTCATCTATTTCATCCTGTGAAGCATCATTTGACAAGTTGGTGACTATAACAACTTCTTCAGTGCTGTCCAGGCTACCGTAATCATGCTGTTCAGGAGGTACTGCTTCAAATCTCAACGAAAATCAGGTGGTTTCACTTTCACGAACTGGTGTTCTGGAGTATGCTGTTGGTTGAATCGGCCTGGAAGCTTGGAGGAACTCTTATAACATCCTTCGCAGAGGTCAAAGCCTATTTTCTCAACACAGTCTTTGCATTTGTATCGTTCCCCAACAATAGGATACATCTGCATTAAATTTCAAGTTACTCTGAAATTAGTTCCACAGTGAAAAGATAAATACATATACTACATGCTTCGTATTTGCAAGATTGTATACAATCCGGCTCTGATGCATGAATTCTGCCTCGTGGCAAAGGCAAACCAGGGGAACTCTTCATTTTTCTATACAAACCTGTATATCGCATAGGGAAAGCAGTATCTTATTGAAAAATAATAATAATAATAAATAAAAATTTTTATAATTAAAAAAAACCTAAAACGAGGCTTCCCAACTAATCTCTTAAGATGAACCAACAGAACACCCTAATGGTTGTTTTCTTCTAAACTTGTGCCCATTACCTTAAATTCAAGAAGCAGGCCCTTGATACTTCACACAGTGTTTGTTAATCAAGTAGTACAGGTAATCAATAGAGACAGGAAAAAATAAAAAAACAAAGCAAGTTTATTCTGTATATATTGTTACCCATACAAATTAAAAAGAATTATCTTTATCATAAAATCTTGATCTAGAATCGAAATGAGAATTTTAATAGAGAGAGAGGTTTTTGGTCCTAGGCATATTCTACCCCAATTTCTACCTCTGAAAACAACTTGTGATTGAAAAGGGAAGATACGGAAATTGAAAGTGAGGTTGTTGCACCTAACAGAGATTGTAATCACGATTGTGGCAGAGAAGGTTGCTGCGGCACTGGTGGTGGAAATGGGAGTTACGACCATGGCCGCAGCAGTTGTTGTGGAAATCAGGAATACGGTGGTAGCAGCAGTAGAAGCCATGAAAAAAAAAATGCTTGAAGTGATGAAATACTGCTAAAAGAAGAAACTGACGAACAAAAGAAATCAAAATGCAAACCAAATTGTTACTGAAGTTTACCAAACTTTGATGTTCTGGGATTTGTAAACAATTTTTTTGATAACCGTTGATGTCCGGGCCAGTTTGCGCGCACCTCGACTAATTACACGGGGCCCTGAAGTTTACGGCCGAATACTCAACTCAGTGGCCCTGAGGGGACTCGAATTGGTGACCATTGAGGAGCAAACCCAAAGCCTGACCAATTGAGAAACCCCTCAAGGTTCTGGGATTTGTAAAATTTGGAAACTTAATTCTCAGATTTCTATAGTGAATAAATTATAACTCAGAAAAAGAGATGATACCTTTTTCACATAGTTTTGCATTTGAAAAAGAGATGAAATATTTAGGGAAAGAAAGAATACCTGTAATCTTTATTAAGCACTAGGTGATAGAACCAATCTAAAGAAAAAACTTGTAAAAACACAAACATGGAAAATATAATATCACTAAGCCATTTTTTTATTTTTTGATGACTCAGGTGTCCGAGCTTCGCCCGACTAATCCTGAATAGTGCCAGCCTTTCCCCCTGGTTCGCCACCCAGGTAAATCCGATGCAATCACAGCTTATACACACTTGGGCCGAACATTCGGGAAGCAGTTTTGCTCCCTGTGGATTACTAAGCCATTTTTCTTCAGACATTACCTTGTGAATGGCAAGTTAAACAGAAAAGAGAGAAAAAAGATAATCATATTACCCCNTCTAAATTAAAAAACTTGTAGAAACACAAACATAGAATATATAATATTACTAAGCCATTTTTCTTCAGACATTACCTTGTGAATGGCAAGTTAAATAGAATAGAAAGAAAAAAGATAATCATATTACCCCACACCAATCACAACCAACTCCAGGGTGAACCTTTGGCCCATTGCCAGACAGCCATGATTTATAAGCATTTCTAGGCAACGATGAACGCTCGGTCGCTTGCTCCCGCTTTCCAGTGGTACCTGATGGCAATAGTAAAGTATAAAAGGAGAAAGTCAAACATATAGTGATATTGATTTAACATCAAAATCAGATGACAGTTATATACGGGAGCACTATCACAGACTCATAAGAGTACCAGCTGTTCTTTATTTAGTATTACAACTATATTTGTCCTAATAAATGCCACGACACAAACCTAAACATCACTTATTCACTATACAGTTCAACAAACTTCAAAATTTAATGGCCTGTTGCTACTAACACAGATACCTATGGAGGAAGTCTCCTCTCCTATGTTAAACAATAAATACTTCCTACATGATCATGAGTATTGAGGTTCATAAAGCATAAAGCATGATATTCCATAAAAAATGTAATTCTGTAAGTTTTGTAGAAGCTCGAATATTGCAGTTGTTAGAAATTAATCAATTGTGGAGAATAGAATAGAAGCCACATCTGGAACATGAAAAATGCATGAGATGAATTGCATTAACTTCACATAAATGCAGATTACAGCATGCAGTGTATGTCTTCACAGGATTAAAGGTCATGCTTTATTATTAGGTCCTTGATAACTGCATACATGTGTTAATGTTTGTGCCAGCGGACAAGTGTGTCTTAACTATTCTGGTTTCTTCAATAGAATCTGAACGACATTCAGACCTACGAAACACGTTACAACTCCAACTTTTACACTCATTGTCAACAAACAAGAAAAAGGAAAAGTAACATACTTCCAGATGGACTAGCGTGTAGTTGGTCAGTTAAAGACTCTTTTCTTGCTGAATATTCCAGGGGGAAATGCTCCTCCAGGAAGTGCTCTAAAACCAAACAAACATTTGGGAAGCCATTTGGATGCACACTTTGACACTCTGGACATCTGCAGACCTTATTGTCTTGATTATTTATACATGCTTCACAATAAACTGCAAAAATGGAAGACAATAAGCAGATAAGTGTTATCGACAAACTCTTCCTGACATGACAAGCAAATTACTGGCAAAACTTACCATGGCCACAATTAAGAACTATAGGTCGACATAATAGCTGCTTGCACAGAGAACATTGTAAGTCAGTCATAGAGACCTGCTTGCATGCCTCATTTGTAACTTCAGACTTGACCATANTTGTTAGAAATTAATCAATTGTGGAACATGAAAAATGCATGAGAAGAATTGCATTAACTTCACATAAATGCAGATTACAGCATGTAGTGCATGTCTTCACAGGATTAAAGGTCATGCTTTATTATTAGGTCCTTGATAACTGCATACATGTGTTAATGTTTGTGCCAGCGGACAAGTGTATCTTAACTATTCATGGCTTCTTCAATAGAATCTGAATGACATTCAGACCTAAGAAACAAGTTACAACTTCAACTTTTACACTCATTGTCAACAAACAAGAAAAAGGAAAAGTAACATACTTCCAGATGGATTAGCATGTAGTTGGTCAGATAAAGACACTTTTCTTGCTGAGTATTCCTGGGGGAAATGCTCCTCCAGGAAGTGCTCTAAAACCAAACAAACATTTGGGAAGCCATTTGGATGCACACTTTGACACTCTGGACATCTGCAGACCTTGTTGTCTTTATTATTTATACATGCTTCACAATAAACTGCAAAAATGGAAGACAATAAGCAGATAAGTGTTATTGACAAACTCTTCCTGACATGACAGGCAAATTACTGGCAAAACTTACCATGCCCACAATTAAGAACTATAGGTCGACATAATAGCTGCTTGCACAGAGAACATTGTAAGTCAGTCATAGAGACCTGCTTGCATGCCTCATTTGTAACTTCAGATTTGACCATACCATCTCCTTTCTTTGCCATGTTGGTAGTTCTTTCCTGATTTGAGGTTGTCGGAATCATTGTCATATTATCTTCATTTTCTAAAGAATCTTGAATCAGGGAAGAGTCACCTCTCTGTGTCATATTAAAGACTC